ACAGGTCCATTTACCATTTAAACAGAGCTTTTGGAGTCCAAGTCAAGTCCCAAGTTGATCACGACAAGTCCTAGTTTAGTCATACCAAAGCAGGACTCAAGTCAACTGAGACAAGTCCAAGTTAAGTCTCAAATTAGTTTAAAAAATTCCATGCATAGTCTCAACTCTTGTTAAATGAAGTCTCAAGCCAAGTTTCAAGTCCTTGATGGCAAATCAAGTCTCAAGTCAATGGAGAGAAGTCCAGGTCAAGTCAGAGGTCTTTTTAAGGAAATTGCAAGTCAACAGAAAGTTTTTCATGTCTCTGAATGTTTTTCAATAGTGTTTTCAAATGGCTGAGACCTATACCTTTTAATCCTTTGAATAGTTACATATTGTGTTTGGCTATGTACTGCCTGTCTCTGTCTCATTTATGTTTTATTATTCTGGGATCTTTCCAGTTTAAATCTTGAGACTTGAATGTCTTTTCAAAGGAGTCCAGTCCAATTTCACAGCAGTCTTCAATTTTGTGACTTCAGTCTGAGTCAACACATGTGCCTTTAAAGAAATAACTGATGTAAAACGCCTACATACATTTTTAATTGTGTACAGGAACTGAACTTTCATTAGAACATTCATAGATGTTTTTTTTAGGTCTCATTAAAGATTCCCTCCAGACATGTATTAAGACATACTGTATATACAAATAATTTCCTTGCAACAATAATGTGTGTATATTCTTCACAAAAAAAGTATAATATCCACATTAAAACCCTTAAAAACTCATCTACTCCTTCTACCTCATTAAAAATTACTTTATCTATGGGTTGCAAATTCTGTTCATTGTTTTATTCATGTCTCCTACTTCACTGTAAAGTCCATTCTCAGTGTATGTGCACTGGTGGCTTCTACACAGTACAAGTTGCATACTGGACTGGACTAAATCTACAATACAAATACATTTGTGATATACAACTTTGATATCAGAAAGTTTGTCAACATATAAAAAGAAAAAAAAGAATCAAAATGAATAATCATCAGTTGTTTTTGTTGCCCCCAAATATAAAAATAGTGTTTATTAAAAGCTATCTGAATATGTGAAGTTTAATCTGTAACACGGTGGAACACATTCACCATTTCATAATGAGATTACTGTAAATTCATTACATAGAATGCTTTGCCCCCAACGCCGTTGGAAATCATGAATCACACTTAGAATCCAATTCTGTTTCATTTCCTCATTGTAAAATGGTGACATAAATTGTGAAATGTGTGCATCTCTGTATGTGTGTGTATGTGCATGCAAATGACTGCTTTTATGAGACAGTGGGAGAATAAACAGCAGCATTACTGGGATTGATGTTAGCGGTGCTCAGAGAGTGCCATCTCATACATGTTTCATGATGCCTAACTCCAAGTTCAGCAGAGACGCAGACACTCAGGGAAATGCCTGTGCTACTGTTTAGTGACCTGCATCTTTAAAGCCAATAAAAAATTTAGTAGACACAGGCAAACAACTCTGTAAGGACACAGGTTGAATGGGACTTCAATCATTTTAGATCTAATTTTGATTAGATGCACTGTACAATGTTCTCTCTTCACCTGCTTTAAAATAAGATGGTTGTGGTAGAAATTTCATTCAATTCCATTTTGTTTTACTGGAAGACATCACTCTTTCTTTTATTAAAGTTCCCCTCCTCTCAAAAATCAGTTTATCTCATGGTTCCTACAGTGTGATGTGTGAATGTTGTCTGTGCTGAAAGTGGAAAGTTTCTCTGTGCTCACTGAAAATCAGATTTTAAGGGGCGGGTCTTCCCTTCGAAATCAATGAAACGAGACAGTTGAAACACTACCGCTTTTGTCCAGGGGCCACCAGAGGGGCCACCAGACAACACAAAATGAAAGTTCCTTGTTGCTGCTCCTAATTTGAGGTACTTGTACTTGCAGCATAAGCTTCTTTATTCTTATTCTTCTACCACATTTTAGAGGGAAATACTTTAACATCACTTTTACATGCCATATTATTAATACAGACCTCATTTTAAAGTATGATATTGTTACTTTTACATACGTAAAGAATGTGATTACTATTTTCATTACAGGCCTTTAATATGTAAAATTATATGTATGTATGCCAGTTGCTAATCCACCATATGTGGACAAACAATATGTTTGAGGATGCTACACACTCATAGTGTCAAATGTGTTGAAGAAGGACTGAATATTTATTGTTAGCAGAGGTGAAAAGAGACGGTCACACAGGACAAGTTTTGCCATTGTCATTTTTTACTGTTGGTACTTATAAATATGCAGTTTAAATACACTAATAAAATAGCTTGGACATTTTCATGACTTGATATATTAACAGCTTCCCAAAAATTGAGATACTTTTAAGATTTCAGGATCTACAAACCTGAGCCACAAAAAGAACAGAAGGTCAACAGAAGGTTTGGTAACAGATGCTACACAGTAGCCGATAGAAGACATACAGTTCCATAAGTTACCACTGCTTCATCACTGTTATTGGCACCTCACTAGGCTGTGATTGAAAAAGAAAACCTTTGAATACATAATAGCCAGATTAATAATGAATCGGTTCATCCTGTTTTGTGTTGAATTATTGATAAAGATTGTTGAACGCCAGGGCTTTGAATAATTGGGAGATTGATAGCAAAGCAGTTATATTTAATTCAAAGCTTTTCAGTGTAACTTTTGGAGATCTGTAAATGTGGAGGCAATGATTTAGCAGTAGTATATGCAAGTGTCAAATCAGCAAAAGCACAATTTATTCATACAGAAAACATACATCCAGACACTCAAATATCTCAGTCATAAATGCCCAGTCTGTATCTCTGTACTAGGTTGCCCCATCGTGCGCTCAGAATTGATTCTGAACTCAACATAGACCCACATGCATGTCTTATATTGAATAATTACATGTCTTTGGGCACCAAAATCTTGGGATTTACTGAATGTGGAAAAGAGAAGAAGGTACTCCTCTTCTTTGTTAGTTCACAATTGTTTTCATTTTGTTTCTTCCCATGGTTAGCTGCAGATTTTTAGATAAATGTCAGTTTACCTGCTCACAATTCCATTTGTGGAATTATTAACCAGTGAACATCCATGATTAAAAGCATTTATAGAACAAAACAAATAACAACAAATAATAGAGCATACATTTACACACACACACACACACACACACGCACTCACCAATGTGTTAACCAGTTCAAGGATGCAGCAGCAGAATTTTAAAGGAAAAATCCTTCCTTGGATGCTGTCTGATACCATCCATCTGTTCCGGATGATATAACATCCATCTGCTGTGTTCAATCCATTCCTTTTATGTTAGTCATCATCTGATTCTACTTCTGCACAATTCAGCAGTGATGTCCTACATTTCCCAGCATACCCTTTAACAACCCACACAGAAGGCTTAGTAGGTTGGACCTCGAACTGTTGGTGCACTCTGGCTGTCCATAACATCTCATCTAGTTTACCACCAAAAAGTTGCACTCTAACACACAACAAAGCAGTAAAAACAGTGGTAAACTCAGGCAATTTTTATGATACTAGACTTTATGTGTTGTGATGCTTTAATGATAATTTGGTT